CCGCTCAAAAACACACTGGTTCAGTTTGTAGTGGATGCCTCTCCATTTGAATTAAAACCATCATAATGGTTCGTCACCCTTCAATATAAGCTCACCATACCCTTTCATTTTTATCCTCAAATTAACATACACAATTACAGTCACAGGCACAGTCAAGGTCCCTCTTCCCCTTCCTCTCCTCTTTCTCCCACAGAGGAAAACACAGTCTTCCTTCACCCTTTCCCTCATGGAGGCTTCCAATGCTATGATCCAATTGGATCTAGATCTGCCTTCGGAGGAGAGGCTATTGCTTGGCAGCTTTGATGGATCTCCAAGGCCTTCCAAGTTGGAAAGGAATGATAGAGACAGAGCTCTAAAACAAATCATCAATAGCAAACTAGACGCTTCCGCAAAGGAATGGGATCCTGTTAAGGAGCGTGCTCCCGAGGATGACCGATGCCTTTTCCTTACCTTCTCCAACGGACACCCTTTGTTCGAGCACCAAATTAGCCAATTCTTTAACTAGTAAGTAAAAAGTGTATAACCATTAATTGTGATTGATTCCATAATCTATTATGTACGTCAAATGATATGCCCCATGCGCGGTTCAATATTGGTGTGTTACAGAGACTGTTCATTCTTATTGTATATGATGTGAAAAGGGATATCAAAGGTGATATGGTGTCACGTTTAATAATCGGTTTTTGTTCGTTATATGTTGTACAAATTCTTTCTTTGATTGATACAATCACATGAAATTAAAAGATGTGTGCATATGATGTGATTAGCAATTTTGGGCCTTGCGTGGAGAGGGTGTATGTGCACTGGCCGCAGCCGAAGACCAGATCTATACCGGCACTATTTGGGAAGGTGGTGTTCACGACGTCGTGTATTCCGGCCATGATACTTGGTGGAGACAGCAACATCAAGTTCATCGTTGATGGGAAGCCTCTCTGGTGCAAGAAATTTGAGCCAAAGCACAAGCGCTCTGTTTGTAAAATTGAATAATTATAGTTAAATTGCGTTTTTTGGTTAAGCCATGGACCTCCAACATCCTATCATATATTTATTTTTGTTGTGGAGTGATCAAATTTTAATTTTAATTATAGTGAACAACTTTTTTTTAATAATTTTTTAATATAACTTTATATATTATTAAATAAATTAATATATACAATACTATAAGTTTCAACATAATAAAAAGAGTAAATCATTAAATTATATGTAAATTATACAAGAATATTATACAAAAATATTATCTCTCAATCATTTTCCTTAATTTATAACCTTGAATGGAACTTATGCAAGATTATATATGATATTTGATATATATTGTTAATTGTTGCTCTCCTTAATTAATGCATCAATCTTTGGCATTGTTGTTCTCAAACAAGTTCCTGGTAGTTGTAGTTGGGTTGTAACAGTATAAATCCAGAAAGGGAAATTACTTAAAATGTAGTAAATAGAATACAGAATGCACAGTTGTTCTGTACATATTGCATCTTATAATCATTAATGAGTAGTAAGCTTTTTAATATTAAGGTAATTTTCTCTCTCAACAATAGTTATAAAATATATAAAAAACTTGTAAAATAACTCTCATAAATCTACAGTTACCATCGACTAAAAATTAGAATTGAGAAGTCCTCATTGCATAGTGGTCACTTTTGCGTAATTAAAGACATTCTCATCTTGGAATAACAGTCCCACCTTCTCTCTCCCCCCCTTTCCTCTTCCTTCTCTCTTATTTCTGCTTCCTTTTCCGGCGCGGCGTTTGTTTTGATCGAAAGCCTTTGAGCTTCCGAGATTTTGATGCTTGAGCCGCTGGGCTCCCCAGCCGCTCAAGCATGCTGGAGCCGGCATGTGCTCCCTTTTCCGATGA